TAGGATCTTTTCCCTTGGAACACTTTCTAGACATCCTAGCACTCTGTGAAACTAACTTAAACTCCTCAATCTCAACCAACGAATTTTTCTCTTCCTGGCTCTTCCCCCTTCTTCTAAGGACTGTTGCTTGTTAGGTAGAATATCTGACAATGAAATAACTATCTACATTCTCTAGATTTGTCTAGAAATATCTTTGTGTCTGTTATCATTGAAGTCACTTCAATGCTCATCATGTCACTGAAGTCACTTCAATGCTCATCATGTCAAGATACCATTGCTCTTCCCAGCATTCAGACTTTGAATTTCTTAATTGCTCAATCTCTTACTCAAATAGTAGAGTTTCCTACTCATTTCCCTAGTAATTCTGATGGACACACTTCTTTACTTGAACTGTTCCTTACCTCCTCTTCAAAGTCTTATTGTACTTTAGAACACTGTCCTTTTGGCAACTAAGATCACATGGTAATGTCTATGGATATTTCTTTCTGCTCATCCATTAAAACAAGAACTTACTGTTCACAGGAGATCATTTTGTTACAAATGCACTGATTGGGAATCATTTCATGATTGTTTTCATGACAATCCTTCAAGTGAAATTTTTAATCTTCCAGTTAAAAATTATGCCACCAAGATTCCTCAGCATCAAAGGTTTTGTGCCATCAAGTAAAACTGCAATCTTGGTTCACTCCTGCCTGTTCAGCCACTATAGCCCACAGGAATCACTTTTTCTATCTATACCAACATGATAGTTCAGATCATAATAGACACATCTTTTTAGCTGCTTGTTATAATTCTATGCATGTCTTTAATGAGATTAAGTTGATATTCCCTAATAGAGACTCTGTATAACTTCTCAGAAGTTTGGTTCTCATGATTAATGGTGGCTCTGTAAGAGTGTCCTAGACAAGGATAAATCCTCAATTCCTCCTCTCTTCAATCAGTTTGATGTATTGTAATCTACTACTGATAAAGTTGAATGATTTGCTTGTAAGTTCTCTTCCAATTCTACACTTGACTAAAAAAAGTGCTCCTGAACTGGCTCCCATTTTCTCCAAGCTTTACAACAGATATCTTATTGCTTCTTGGAAATCCTTTTCTGTAGTTCCTGTCTTTAAGAACTGATAGACCTTCTGATTCCTTGAATTATCATCCTATTAGTCTTTTACCATTTTTTTCGAAAAGTATTAGAAGCTGTAATCAACTCCAAATTGGTTCAGTATTGCCCTTTGTATAGCCTTCTTTCAGGTAAGCAATATGGATTTTGCTTCTCTAGGTCAACTATCAATGTATTAACAGTTATTACTGAATTTGTCTATCAAGCTGTAGCTTTAGCTATCTGAAAAATGTTTGGCAGGGTTTGACATACTGGTCTTTATATTGAATGATTACTCTTTTTTGATCTTTTCACATTAATGCAGGGTTTCACCAGAACTCTATCCTTGGACCTACATTGTTTCTTATTGTCATCAACAATCTTCCAGATCTTATTTCACAACTCTGCAATTAGGCTGATTATATATCTATTTACTCCTGTCTTAATAGTAAGTCCAAGAAAGTAAAACTGACAACTGATCTCAAAAATTACCTCCAATCAATTTAACTGGAGTAAAAAAAGCAGTTTGTAAATTTTAATACTTACATAAAACTACTATCTTTTAGTCATTATAGAGAACCCTTTTTGCCTTCCATCATCATGGCTGATGCTGACCTCCAGGAGAGCAACTCATTACACCATCTTGGTCCCATATTTTCCACTGACATGAAGTGGAATGATTATATTGAATCAATTACTAGGTCTGCTGTGAGGAAAGATGGTTCATTGTGTCATGCAAGACAATTTTTCTTGCCAGAATCCATTGTGCACATTTATAAATCTACCATTTGTCCATGCACTGTATATTGCTGCCATATCTGGTCTGGTGCTCCTGCTATATGTCTCAAGATTCTCAATAAAATCCAAAGAAGAGTCAGTAATTTTATTAGTCCTGACATCTCAACTTCAGTCCATTTCCCACTACTGTGATGTAACTTCCCTCTGTCCAAAATAGCAAACAGACAAGATGTTGCTTTACCTCACAATATGCAGGTTTGTATTTTAGCATAATTATAGGTTAATGATGAAAAAAAAAGCATTTCATTTTTCAACAAAAGTTTCCTTTATGCACTTAATCTAATGTTTCTCAATTAATTATATATATATATATATATATATATATATATATATATATATATATATATATATATATTGAAAAACTTCAGATCAAAATTTACCCAATAAATCAGGCTTATTGGTCTCTCATTTATATATTGTTTGTAGCAATGATTATAAAAAAAATCAAATACTATATTTTATGGTTTTGACAAAGTAAAGAAAACTTTAGAGATAAAATATTATATGTAGTTTTATTAACAGAGTATGTCAACTCTAAACTACTATCAAAGTTTTTTTTCCCTTTGGTCTTACCTTGTGAATTATTTCTGATGGTTTTGAGTGCATTTTAAAGTGTAGAGCTCTATTTATTTTTCTCTGCTAAATTAGTTCTTTTTTTTTCTTTCCCTTTTAATTCTCATTCTTTCTTCCTCTCCCTTTTTTTTCTTGTTTAGGACCTTTTGTCTGGGTTTAACACTTAAATCTTTCCACCCAACTTACATGCAAAGCAAATGTCAGTATTATTTTTTAAAGGAATTTCTATGACATTAGTAGTTGATATTTACAATCATTAAAATCTTATTTTATATTCATTTATTTTTTTTCTACAACTGACATCATGCTGATAAATAAATATACCATAGATACAATTGGTGCTGTAAAAGATTTGAGTCAAATGTTCTTAATGGCATAACAGCAGGAAAAGTATATTTTTGTTTTAGATTTGTTGTATTTTTAAACAAATTTTATTTTACAGCAGGGGTTATTTCTACAGACTATTCTGACTGTAGTTTGTTTTCAAGAGATCTCCTCCCCAGCCAAAACTCAGCTGCCTAATGTCTGACCATTTTGCATGTAACCATCGAGTTTCTATGGTAAAATATTTTCCAGAGTCAGAAATGCAATAACATCTCCATAACTGCATTCTTGATTTTCATCAGTCATCATCAGCTGCTTCAGTTTTTTCTGTTTTTTTAGAAGCAATCTTCTATAAAAAAACACACCAAAAACAACACTGCTGAAAATGGCTAAAGAAATGGCCGAAAGCGCTTGTGACAATCAACAATATGGACAGTTTTTGTACTCGGTCACTCCAAACAAATAGAAAAATAAAAGAACACTGGAAAAACTAAATAAAAAATGAATAAAATTTTCTTTGTCCATCATATTTAACAAAATATGTTGTTTAAAAGAAATTTTGCTACCTAAATATACATTAATATATATATATATATATATATATATATATATATATATATATATATATATGGGTAGATTACTGATACCATCTGAAGAGTGGACAAACAGCCCCACCCTACAAAACTCTGGAGTTGGGATGCTGAAGGTAACATCAATCAGCTAAGTCACAAACTTTTACATATTAATCCTATATATATATATATATATATATATATATACACATGCATGTCTGTATGTATGCATGTACATATGTGTGTAATCTATGCATAATTATACAGAATAAATTAATTTTGTCATATTTCTTTGCTTTCTTCTGACTCTAGAGAATATTACTTTTTTAAAATCTACTATGGATGCCTTGTCTGTCATGAAACATTCATTTCCTTACTGTTTTTGTGCAGCTCATGCTTAATATTGAGTCACAACTACTTACCTTATGCTTGAGTCTTTTTATTCTTCTTTGTAATGGCTGATGACATCTCGTCAAATCTAGTTTGTCATTTATCCATGCTTTAATGCTTCTTCCCAGTTCAATATCCTGGGAATACTTTGAATGACTTGAGAACCTTGAAATCTATAACTATGATCTCAACATTTTATAATGACAGAACTGTTTTTATTCAAGGGCACATAACTCAGTTTTTCTTGATCACAAATGTAATTCTGTTGATGGCTGGGTACCCTTTTTAAAAAAGAAGTAATTCATAAGGGATTTGTCTGTTGGATTTTATATTACAAAAAAAACAGAGAAAGTTTAAGGAAAGTTTAAGAAAGATAAGGCTACACACAGAAGAAACATGAAGAATGGTCATTACAGTCTGCTGTGGAAGCTGGTGTTAATGGATTAACCAGAAAGATTCTGAGGAAATGTAAAAAGGAAAGGCCTGGGAGAAAAGAGAAGTGATTATCATTTAAAGAAAAAATATGTTGAAGAAAAAATACAGAATTGGGTGGAAGTATGAGAAAAAGGAGAAAATCAAAAAATGAATTAAGAGAAATAAAAGTGACTACCATCTGACTTCATTAATTTGGCACACTGTAGCAATTCCCATGGTCTAGCACTTTTTGTATGACCCACCATTAGTTTGTTGTGCAGCTACAAGGGTGGTACTACACGTTGTTTGCAACTTTCCACAGCAGCTGACAGAATCTGACAGCAGCAGAGTGTTTTGATGATACGATCTTGTTCATTTCTTATATATAGCTGCATATTTACCCATTCAAAATAGTACAGGGTCTGGGAGAAATAACAAAAAGACAAAATTTATTAAGAGCTACAAGACACATGAAGATGTGGTGGGCCATGATTGTTTATGTCCTGAAGGGACATGGCACATAAATGAAGAAGGTTATATTATATTTTGATTTTAAGCTTATTTTTTTTTTTTTAGGATTTGTAATTGTATGAAACAATGAAAACCATCTTTGGAAGCATTAAAATTGTTTTATTTCCTGTTTTAAGATTTTGTTCTGCCTTTGATAACATAGCTATATATATATATATATATATATATATATATATATACACACACATGTGTGTGTGTGTGTCTGTGGATTGAGTTGGCAAGGGTTTTTTAAGGGTGACTTCTGTCATCTGGCATTTTCTATGGTCTAACAGTGACCTGGTCCCAACTGTGCCAGATTAAAGAGGTCAGACTGTATTAGGAAAAAATAGTTTTATGGAAGTAGACAAAATAGGGTTTTTGTGAATTAAAAAAATCTTAATAAAGAAAATGAAAAGGAGGATAGAAATGGGAATAACAATAAAAGAAGTGAAAAAAGAAAGGAAAAAGATAGAAAGAAAAGACAAAGAAGAAAGAGAAAGAAGAAAATAGAGAGAAAGAAGAACACAAATAAATTTAGTAGCAAAGATGAATAATGATAAAGAGTTGAAAAATGACTGTTTTTAGAATTATTTTGGCTTAATCAATGAAGAAAGTCATCATGTGTGCTATGATGGTCACAGCTGTCAGCTTGTATTTTATAGCATTTCAATGGACAAAGAACATTTTTGGCAGTATCTCTGAGTATCATACTTAGAAGAATTAATGCAGGATAATATGCAAAAAAGTTATGTATAATAAAGGACGTTTCTGTCTGTACTTCTTTGATAAAGAATTATGATTATTAAGAGTATTTACATGTGCTCTATTTTCCTCATCTTTTTCTTGTTATTATATGTTATATCATTTGGTTCAATGACCAAAATGTCATAACAACAACAACAACAAATATTAGGACACTATTCCAGAGGTAAATAGTGTAAATAAGAAAGGAAGAGTATTATAAAAAGTAGAACCAAATTATACAAAAAGAAAATAAAAGCAGAAATGAGAGAGGTGAGGAGAACTGCTTAGAGATGGAGATGAAGAAAATGGTGAAACAAATCTTTTAAGAAAGAAATAGGTTAAGGAAGAAGTGAAGAAATAAAAAGAAAGTAAAAAAGCAGTGACCAGTAACAAGAGAAATGGAGGTAAAGTATATAGAAGTGAGGAGAACTGTTTAGCAATGGAGGTGAAGAAAATGGAAATACTTTTTAAGAAAAGAATAAGTTGAGGAAGAAATGAATAAAGAAATACAAAAGAATGAAGGATTTTGTAGATTCCTTAAATAAAAAAATAAATTTAAAATATTTGATGACTAATTCATTTTGAACTTGTTAAAGAAAGTTTTAGCCTAAAATTTTTAAAAGAATATATAAACACCTGCATGGGTTCATTAATAAGTCTATAAGATAATAGTGAAAATATATTCATTTTAACAATAAATATTATTTTAAGAGTTTGTTTAATGTATATAATCCAGTAGAGACTATTAATCATATTGATCAACTATTTTGCCTGTGATTTCTAAACTTTTTTTAATCACATCATGTAAAATTTTGTCCCATTACATGGGTGACAATTAGCTCGGACCATCCCTACACACAAACCACCAATCTACTACTGGGTGGCATATCACTAGTGTTTATTGCTGATGGCCTGCTGTCGGACTGCCAGCATGTTTGTCTCAGCAATGTTACCACTGGCGGACTGTCAAGGGATCTTCATGTACTTGTTACCCATTTTGTACTTAAACAACACTGTAAGTGGAATCAAATATCTCCTTCATGTTTAGCTAACAGTTATATTAACTTCATTATGAATTTCAGTTTGAATTTTTCACATCTTGAAATATAATCTTACTCTTTCATGATACACCTAATTTCATCTCAGGGCACACCAATGTGCCACAGTACACAGTTTAGAAAACACTGCATTATATTGTGAACATTTCAGAAACTGTAGCTAATGTGTCTGGCTACAGACATTGATCTATTTTTATCTGTACAGAATACATATATGGGCACCTTGCATGGGATGATATTTTACAAGCTAGTCTTTTGCTGTTTGTTTTTTTAAATTCAGTCTTCATATATTGTTGTAAAAGACCAAAGCTAAGCTTTGCAAATGGATGCTTTATAGACTTATTATTCTCTTATTTAATTTTGCAATGTTTACAGTATTTATTGAAATATTACTTTGAGGTGGATTACTTGGTCTGTTTTATAGCTAGGCTGCCTTATCAATTAAACATCTTGTTTCTTTTATGTCATCTCCAAGGACAAGAGGAGTTGCTTAAAAGTATTGATCTCTTCTCTAAACAATATCTTACAGGGAACACTGACCTGATAGATTTTCTGCTTAGGTATATTTAGGCAGAAAGAATTCTTTTAAGGAAGTTTTGTTAAATTCAATCGACAAGGTCTCTCTGCTTAACTTTTATTTTATTTTTCCAATTTTCAAATATGATGCTGCACATTGGTGTCAAAATTGTGGATGAACTTTTCATGCATTGAAATTTTATGCATATTATTTCATCTTCTTCTTCCATGTGACATGTCATGCAATCATGGCTCTCCACAACCTTCTCCCCTTTGTAGCTATTATTAGTAAGATTTGTCTTTTTTTGCTATCTCTCCTAATCCCTGATCTGCCATCCATTTACAGAAGTTCATTAGGTAGGTTATGTGCTGTTTTCCTTTATCCCTCTTAATTTCAATATGTCCTGTGAATGTCAAATTCTCCAAACCATCTTTTCTCATTGTATCCCCTCAATATTTCAAGTGTATCTTTTTGATTCTAAGTATATAAGCATCATTTTTGCTTTAATTTTCATTAAAACTTATTCACGTGTTCATCCCATGGTATTCTCAGCATCCTTCTGTAGAATCACATTTCTGTTGCTTCAAGTTTCATCTTCATCTGTGAAAAGATTGTCTAGTATTCACTGCTATATAGGAGGACTGATATTACATAACAGTTCAGCACTCCTTTCTTTGTTTCTAACAAGATTTTCCTAAAATCCCATCTCCTGGTGAAAAATATGTTTCTTTTATATAATAGCTTGTAATGATAGTTTTAAAATCTTGTAAATAGTTTCAGCTGGAATATTTCTTTTAAATAAATAAAAAATGTTTTAAATATATTAAAAAATAAATAGAAAGAATTAAAGGAAAAACAAAAAGTTTACTCCTTGAAAATTTTGAACTAAAATCCTTAGCCAGTATTTATTTTATGGTTTTTGCTATCTCTTCAAAGTTCACATTTGAGGTTCATTTTTAGTGACAGTATAAAGCTTTCAAGCTAAGAAATTGGCAAAATTTATAAAAAAATAAAAAAAATACTGTATGGCATTCAAAAATCTCTAGATACAGCAATCACCTGAAGGAGACCAACAAATGCATTGACTGATAGGTTCTAAAAACAAAGAAGAAAAACCCAACAAAAAACAACCAAGGTAAGTATTATTAGAGTTCAAATAATTCTGAGGATAAAGACAATTTTTAACAAAGAATTTTAGACAATATGATGAGGGCTAAAATAATTCATTATCTGAATCAATGATCAAAATAAAAGACAAAGATAATAGTTTAAATAAATCATGATGTAATGACAATACTATATTTCATAACTTAATACAAAAAAGAAAAACTTTGCAGAATCAATGTTAAATTGATTTGGTTTAAAGAAAAGTTTGAGAAAAATATTAAATACATTAAGCACTGATAGTTACTGGAAAAGAGTATTTGAGAAAAAGAGTAAACTGGATAGGAGGTAAAAAGATAAATTATAAAAAAATGAATGTAAAAGAATCGCAAAAATTGGCAAGATGAATGAAAGGAGTAAAAGAAACAAAAATGGAAGGATGATGTTAAAATGAATATAAGAAAAAGAGAGAGGTTGCAAGAAAAAAATGTCATCTTGGGGAGAGAAAGAAAACAAAAGGAAAAGGAAAATTATCTTAAAATTTAAAACAAATTTGCAAAATGAATGCTAAGGCAAACTGAGAATTAATCTAAAGAAATAGAAAAGTAAAGCAATTTATTTTGGAAGAAATGAAAGAAAACAAAACTTGAACAAAATTTAGCCAATCTTGAACATAATACTTGTTCCAAACAAAATGAAAAGCGTTGTAGACTAAAAAAAACCTGGTTATTAGTGTTTCTGTTCCCTATTAAATAGAATCTGTTCACGTAACATTGTTATTGTTCTTAAAAAAAATACTGATCTTAAAAAGAAAAAGTGAATCACTTTAAAAAAAGAAATCATCAGAAAAACTGTTCTTGTTACAAGACACTGTTTCTGAAAGAAAAGTTTTATTTTTTATAATATAGTTAATTATTTTTGTTCATATTGATCTCTTATACAAAGAACTTCTCTCTCTTTTGAATATTTAAATACAAAAGAAAAATACAAGAAATATTTTTTGAACTCTAAGAAAATGGTATTGCTACAATATATGTTTATGTATATATCTAAACATTATTTATTCAAAACAGTCCATATGTTTACTTGGGTCTGATGCTTTTGTATATCTGTGATCAAGGAAAGGACAAATCAGTGTCTTACAGGAATGTATTTAATGAGCATATAGTGAGGAAAAAATTTATCTATCTATCTATCTATCTATATATATATATATATATATATATATATGTATGTATATATATAAAATTCTCAAAAGTGCTGCTATTGAATCTTATCAAAATATAAATCTGTGGCTCAGATCTTTTAAAATATTTCAATTCTTGAAAGAATTACTCCTATCCTAAGACAACGTACATAAGTTAATTTTTTATCATGTTAAAATTAATAGAAAACATTTAAATTCATAACCTCCTGTTATTTAAAAAGACAAAAAACAAATAAGAAATATATATATAATACATAAATTTATCCCATGTCTCTGGACATGTATTCGTTTGGGGGAAACATGTGCATGTCTCTGACAGTCAGCTAAACACCTTTTGGTAATTACAACTCTGAAGCAATGTTAGGGTTCATCTACACAGGTTTATTAATGACCAAGGAAAAGGTAAAACTATAAAACTTCACAACAAAACGTAAACATAAAAAACAAGTAACCATTAGCAAGGGCTGGGTTCTCATATAACATGGAACGGAAAGCTTATTTGATGGATCTTTCATAATTCTTTCATAAATGGTTATAGGAATGTAGAAATGTTAGGAGGGAACTGAACATGAAGAATAGAAATTACAAGCTAGTGGGAATGGAGAAAACAAGCGAAATGAAATTAAGACTCGCATTTGACAGAAAAGGTGATAATGGTAATTAAAGAACACTTGGTCAAAGACTATAGAAAGTCAACAAATAAAACTTAATGAGTATAGATATATACAAGGAAAATAAAAGTGTTGCAGTTCTTACCAATGATGCTTGGAATATCAGAGATATTTAGAGGGATTGCATGCCGAATAGGTTACAGCCCTTTTGCTAGAAACAGGTTTAAAAGCGTTCCTTAAAAACAAGGAGTCACTTAGGGAGATAAATGAAGGGAACTAAATCCTAATGCAGAACAGAACTTCCATACTAATTTAATAATTTAAATATTAATTGCAAAGAAAAAAATTCAGCATTTACTCACTTTCATTTATTAGACATTAAATTATGTCACTTAGCATCCTTCATAATTTAACAAGAATTTTCAGTTAACCTGATGAATATTTATGAGCATCCCTTAAATTAAAAAATTTTGAAAAACTAACAACATTTTTACAAATTGTGTGGAATCATTAGTGATAGATTATTTCAATAATCTATCACTAGTTTTTTAATATCATTATTTATATCAAGGCTGATACTATTTTTGCATCAAGGCTGACAGTAAGAATGACAGTGTTTTGATACTTGGGCATGTAAAATCTTTAGAGGCAAGAGATTTATCTTAGTGCTTATTATCCACTCTCTACTTTATTAAACATTGTGGCATAACAGTGACAAAATATTTTGTCAAGATATCTGGTAATGTAACAGATCAAGAAGTAGGGTCATGCCATTGTGGCAAGTGTATAACATAAGTATCTGAACCTGTTAAACATAGAAAATCATCATATTAGTAAACTTTGTGATAGACACAAGAGAAAAAACAGTAGGTTGTAAGTCTCAGGAAAACAACATCAATTAACAAACAAAAAATGTATTCAAACAAATAACAATGATTTCATATTGTAGGAATTTTCTCAATGCAGTTGTAGGATGATAAATGCGATAATTTCTTTCTCTTTTTATGAAAATCAGGGGACATGTGAAGGTATGGTAAAAGTCTATACTTACTTGTTCAATCTTCTCTTCATGTTCACACTCACAGGTTCACAGAGCTGTATGTTAATGTCCCACCCCAGCAAATGTACATGGTCAAAAGAGGGATGTTAAAATTCTTGGATTTGGGTCAGCTGGCCTTGTGTTTTAGCATACCTACAGATGATAATGGGTATAACCTATTCTCATAAATACAGTATTAAATACTGTATGTTAGTCTGCAGTTGAAGATTCATTGTATAATTCACTTGACTCAATTCTAGCAGTGGATGACTTTGTCTACATGCCGCTGGCAAATCTTATATGTGTTGTTCTTGTCCTAAGTATTATCATTCATTATCAACCTTCACGTGATTATTCTATTCAGTAACCTTTCCTAGGTTACAACCCTTTCCAGTTCCTTTTTTTATGATGGGAAAGGGGTTTATTTTGTATGTTATTTTGTTTATTTTTCTAACCATCCCATCTTTCCCAATGTACAGTAAACATAAATAGCTTTGCCGATTCTATTTAACACTGTTTGGTGCTTCTAATTTTTATTCTTTTGATATAATTCATTACTAAAAAATGAGTTTTTGATAGCAGTAACAAAAGTGTTATCATCTTGTGAAGAAAATGCCTTCATTCTGATTTAAAATTAAGTTTTACCAACCCAATTCTTGAAATGAAAATGTCTTCACTCTCATTAGCAACCTACAACATTCTTTCAGCAAGTCCTTTTGTTGTCATTTTTCTTTTTTGATTCTTTAATGAGACAAAATAATAGAAATAAAGTACAAAAATGCTAGTTATTTTGACATGCAGGTTTGACTTTATAGAACCCATTTTGAAATCATTGCAGCTTTGCATTTTTTCTGGTTGAAGTTTTCTTTTTGCTCAATATATTTTAAAGTCTTTTTGCAACTGATCTGAAAATCCACAATATTTATTTTATTTTATTTTTTTTTTCAGAGCTTCCAAGTTTATTTTGGTGAGTAACTAAATTATTTTAATGCTTAATAATATTCATTTTGTTGATTATTTTTCTCCAGAAATATTTAACACAAAATCATATAAATAAATTTAAAGTATTATATTTTTACATAAGTATCTTGAAAAAATAAATGTTTGTAAGTAATTATTGATAAAGAAAGATCAGTGTATTTGAGAAGCAGTAAGTACATGTAGGCATAGTTCAATTTAAGACTGAAAAAATATTATCATTAATTTGTAGTGTATAAGTCAACTAGAAAAATTCTATTCAAAAATTGACCTAAGCACTGAATATATATATATATATATATATATATATATATATATATTTTATCACATGTAGGTTAATAGTATTATCAAGATAACTAACAGTGTTAGATGGAAGAAATAGTTTCAAATTTAATTATGTTGCATTTCCACCATTTTGTTATAAAATCCACATAAATAAATTTAGTTATGAATCAGTAGAAGAGAAGAAGATAGACTCAAAACTTCCACTTTGGTATTGGTAAATCATGTATTCTTCTGAATAATTGCCTGTTTGGAGAAGGCAGTGTCTCAACATAAATGGCATCAATGCTAAATTTATCACTGTTGTTGTGCTAATTTGCATGGGAATGGTCACACTTGCTCATTGACAAATCATATCTAATTCGTAGCAATGACCACAGCATATATGTCTTATGATGTGTCTTGTTTGACACCTGTTTTTGATTAGTAAAATATAACATACATTTATCATAGCAACAAAGTGAGACATTTATATAATAAATCAACCATTTGCAGGTTATTTAATGTTAAAATCTAAATATTTTGTACACAATTTTATTTTACTTTTGGAAATAATAATATTTTAGTGATGCAAGTCTTACTTATTAAAGAGGTGAATTCATACTAATTCATACTTTTCACAATGTGTAAGTGAATATAACGAACCCAGCTGGAATTGGAACTTGGCTTTCTGATTAACAATTCTGAGCCATTAGATATTACACCACCTGCACATCTAAACTTACAGCACCTGGTATTCCCAAGTGGTCGCCCATCTAGATACTGACCAGGCTCAATGTTGCTTAATTTTAGTGATTATACAGGAACCAGTGTTGCTATGTGATGTGGCCATAAGCCTCAGTAGATATATGAAAGTTTTTGCAATGTGGTTGTTAGTAAATGATTCTGGTTTGTGTTTGAGTTGGTGAATGAATAAATTGTTTGCAAGTGATAAGTCTATCAGTGAAAGGCAATATTAAACATGAGAAAGTGATATTTGGGTAAGGTGAGTTATTTGTATTCTTCATTTCTGGAGCTGTTCAATTCCATGTGCTCTCCTTGTGAGATAATGGCAGAAAGGGCATGTTTCTAAATTTCCAGCCAGTAAGACAGAATCATTTTTTCTAGGGAATCATGGGAATTAGATCTTTTTATGTCTTGTAATCATGAGATCACTACATATGTAAAACCAACATTTTTTTTAGTGATGAGAGGTGAGTTAGCTAGTGTTGATGGTTGGGAGAGCACTACTCAGATTTGAAGACCATTCATTTTGCTACACCTTGGATTGGCAATTGTTTGTTTTTCTATAGAATCCATTATAAAAATTCAGAATACAGAATTAATAAATTCTAAATGCTTCAAATACATCAATGTGTGGATTAGTCATAATATATTTAGTATAGGAGGTAAATACGTTGAACACAGGACAAATTGTGCCACTGTTAGTTTTGTTCAACACTACAAGATGCTACCAAACCAACATATTAACCAAAGAACTTGAGTCATGTTCTAAAAGTTTATCAGATCTAGACTTTCATAGGGATGTCATACATCGAGTCTAACTCATTCATTGTACATCATCTAGACACAAAACTTTTCTCAGATCAATGACTAAAAATAGCTTTCAGTAAATGAATCCATGAGGTTTTAAAGAAGACAGTCTTACATCAGACCCTATAGACTGGTGCTACAAATTTAGAAAGAGACTCTACCAAATAACAAAGATCACATTACTTGAAGACTTTCAACAGAATCAATAGCTAAAATGTGAAGTGCATGTATGTAATGAAAGAGATAATCAGGTGCCGAAGAAGGATTATCAAAAAGTAGTCAGCAAAAATCTTATAGCGAAGAAAACAGCGACTTACCTCATCAACCCAAGCGACAGCGCATCACGTGTATTCTGTGACGGAAAAAGAAACAAGTCCGTCGCAGGAGTCGCTATAAGAGGATATTGATATGCAAATTACGGAGCATCCTATCCCAGCTGTCGACGAATGAAAAAATAGGTTCTGCCGATAAAAGCAGTTGGTGTTCTCAATTCGGTGGAAGGAAAATTCGGGCATTTTTGGCTACGGCGTTTGTTGGGAGAGTAATCTGCGACAAATTTGCTTTGAGAACGCTTACACTTACAATGTAACTAGAAGGAAAAATAATGATATAATCCAGACACTGACTTCCCACATTACTAAAAACAAAAGGTGTGCAAAGAAACTCTCATCAATACTAAAAGGAGGAATACCAGATAGTAGACTTTAGAAAACTAATTTCCTGAAAAACTGATATAAGACAAATAATTTATAAATTTCAACCAACTGTATGACTAAGGTTTTGATTTATTGAATGGGTAACTTCAGCATTACCATTGATAAAAGTGGATGCTGATTTAGACCTAGAATTTTGAAGTAAACATATTTCAATTAGTTTTAATACAACAATGTATTGTAATTTGTCAGACGGATTTAAGTCACATACTGTAAAGAACATTGTGGGTAATGAATTGTAAATATAAAATAATCAGGGACCTTGGAGATAACAAACACATTTAGTATGATTGTAGATGAAAAGAAAATGGGTAGGATTGTTGTGTTAATTTTATTTTTTGGCTGTATCAAAGAAGAATTCAAAAAGTCTTAAGCATTACCACTGTAATCAGGAGCAGGTTCTTGGGCAAGATAAAGGTGATAGAAGTCTTGGTTTATTCTTCCATAAATACTTAGTTTTGTTTGGGCACAGTTGAAAGATTTACTGACAATATTTGGCAGAGATTCCTGAACAGTAAGAGTAATAGTAACTGATTTTTTTTAAAACGGGAATCTTACAATGAATAAGTGAGAGATTTGGGGATAGTCTTAAATTATTTATTGAGTTATTCACATACAGACACTTTGAATGGCCAGTTATTGTGCTATTTGCAAAAGATACATTGAAAAAAATACTGGAGTTGTCCTCTTATTGAGCTTGTCATAGAACACTTACAGCTGTTTATATATATATATATATATATATATATATATATATATATAGTGTGTATGTGTGTGTGCAGTAATAAAATGAATGTCTATCTTTTCCCACTTACTTCATATAAATCAAAATTTATAAATAATATATATTCTGTTTCTTAAGTTTGTGAGTATAGAAAAGTTTGCATAAACTTTTAGATTTACAAAAAATGACAAGAAATGATTGCAAGATAAGACTATAAAACATTAAAATCTTATTTTATGAATTTCTAGTCATTCTCAAATGATTTTGTTGCATGTTTTAGTTGGTTCTGTTTCTAACCATCTTCAGATGATATGTTTGTCTTGCTTCAAATTTTTATAGTTCTCTTACTAAGATTTACATTTCCAAAAAGAAAAAAAAATAGGACATATGCCAAAAATGTAATTGAATGTTCACTTATTTTTAATAGCTATTGACTATATATGTGATTTGTCTGGAAGGCATCCAGCCATTTAATATTAACAAAAAATATGGCATTCCCTAGGGCAATGGCATCTTAGCCTCTCTGAAAGTACTCCCCTTGAGACATCACAAATGTACCCCAGCAGCCCTTTTACTTTTCAAGACATTTTGTAAAGTCCTCATTGGGATTGCCATCAGCTGTTTCCCTATATTTTCTTTAATCTTGTCCATTTTCTGAAATATTCCCCACCACCTTTCAATGTTGATTTTATTTTTGGAAAAAAAACAGAAATTGCAGAGAAACAAATTTGGAGTGTGGAATGCTTAGGTGATGCACTGTTTTGTTAATAAACCCTGCATCAGATATGAAGAATGGAGAGGTGCTGTAACACTAGAGAATATGGCTTACCACTGGGATGAAAATGGATTCACATGTATCTTGCATGTAAAATATTCCTAAAAAGAAAATGGCAGCTTCATGAAACATATATTTAAAAGTTAGATCTTGGAGTCAGATAAACTTCTGCAAGAATTTCTTTTAACATATGCAACTTTTAACTGTCACTCAATCTATAAAAAGTGCTTAAAGAGGTGACAGACAGAATTGTGCGTACTGTAGTGAACAGGAAACACGTGTTGTTGGATTGTTTGACCTAAGTTCATATTGTTATTCTGTTGGTAGAAGGAAACAGATTCCAGACATTTACTACAAGCCAGAAGAAACTGACTGCAGGTGCATTGTCATGTTGAATGTGATGATCAAGCTCATGCAATGGCATCCCACAAGAGTGTGTCTGTTAATACACGTGTAATAAAGTTTCCTCTGATTGGGTACAAATTTATGTCAAGTCTGTACAACTGATTCACAAAATATTTAAAATGACTCCATACTTTTTGGGTTGACTTTGTATTTGTTACATACTTTTAAAAACATATAATCAATAAAAGATGTTTAATAAATTATTATGTGGACATAATATTGCTTTCGAAAAATATTTTAACATGGAAAATATGTTAATGTATGCAGAGAACAGGAGAAAATGAATCCACAGACAATATCAGTAGCGAAGCTGCTGTTCTTCACACCATCAGCAGAGCTGAGAAAATGCCCCCTTCACTCAAAGAATACCAGTCTTAAGTATGCTTGAGAGCCAGTTCCACAGAGCAGTGGTTCATGGGGAGAAGCTGTTTGAGTGGAACTTCTCATAAAGGGAATGTAGGTAGTTTGCTACAATGTAAGTGGCATAGCATGTCCTTGCTATGAAGGTTTGAACTGATGGAACCAAGGAATGTCTGAGTATTTTCCATGGAAGTATCGATAGAGCAGTGAGATGTTTGCTACATCTCACCTGTGAGAGAAAGAGGTTGAAGAATAATTTGTCAAGTGGGGAATGGTTCAGAGATGCTTTTGGACTCTATCAAGGCTGAAGTGAGGTCTGAACATCTGCCGCCCAAATATGACAACAGTGCTCCATTTAGAGGATAGCATGAGGAGTCAGTTACTTACTGGAGTGGTACAAGGAGTTGACCATTTTAACTGCATCTTTGAAAATGGATCAAATGTGCGAGTTCCACTTAAGATCAGTTGTGAGTTTGAGGCCAAATAATCTTTCAAGGCATGGTGCTATCCTGAGGAGACATCTGTTTATTGTGAGTTGTGATAGTTTGAGGTATGATTGGTGATGATGGAATGTAACACGTTTCCATGCAAATCAATACCACAATCCCTATGCAAATCGTGTCAACAGCACCACCTACATTGTCTCATTACCCTCTCCAAACAGCCAAGTATGAAAGATGATAACTCTTTGTACTAATGCAGGTGACCTCAGAGCTAATAATACTTTATACTGATGTATAACCAACTCCTATATCCACTACATCACTGTCCCATATCAGCCATTCAATAGGCACCTGATGATGACCAGAGGGTACTTGGTCGAAATGTTGTCTATAACAACATTTATAACAAGCAAGATAACAACAGTTTGAAATAATACATGACTATTGATAATTACTCATATTAAAAAGGAAATACTAAGTTACATGTTCAACTATACATATCATTCACAGCTTTAGCTCAGTCTAATGATTTTTTGCCACATTTATTTATCCAAGAATCAACAGCCTCTCTGTATAAATTTCAGTTGGAATGTATTGATATATTGATGGATTCTCATACACAGGCATGAAATTTGGGTAATTGGTACAGAATGGTCTCTCACTAAAATAGCAGCATGTTTTGAAATTTATTCATTGCCTCAAACTTATTTAGTTTTATCAAAGGAAAGAAGTATGAGAAAAGCGTATTTGTTTGAACATACATTTATGGAAGATATGATATACAACTGTATATATCAAACTAATAGCAAGTAACTGAATGACGAAATGATAAAATCTCCTGCCTTTTCTTCTTTGAAATAACATCTTCAGATTTCAAATG